ACGACAAGCCATAAAAAATGCTGGGGGTAGAAAGAAAATTAAACTTCCTAGAGTTATTCCAGTGCCCAAAGTTGGGGGGTTCCTTCCACTTATCCCAATATTCGCCGGTCTAAGTGCTCTGGGAGCGCTTAGTGGTGGGGCTGCGGGTATTGCGAAGGCTGTAAACGATGCACGCGCTGCAAAAGATAGGCTTGCAGAAGCTACGCGACATAACGAAACTATGGAATCTATCGCCTTGGGAAAGAAAGGAGGGGGATTATATCTAGCTAAACATAAGACTGGATATGGTTTGTACTTGAAGAAGATGTCAAAAAACTTCCAATAAAGCTACCCAATCGGCCATTAACAAATATGGATATTGAAACATATGTCAAGCGCTTGAAAATATCTCACTTTAGAGGCGTATTTATGCGAGATACATTACCAATTTTACCTTATAAAAATGAAAGCGCTATAATTAATTTGGATTTAAATGTGGGGCCTGGAACGCATTGGGTAGCTTACAAGAAAAGGGGAAGAAATGTTGTTTATTTCGATAGTTTTGGAAATCTGAATCCACCATTGGAGTTAGTGAAATATTTTAAAAATTGCAAAATTTTATTTAATTATGATCAATATCAAAACTATAATACGCATAATTGTGGACATCTTGTGTTAAATTTTTTGTATAATAAAAATCAATATAAATAAAATAATCGTTTTAATTCGCATCAGTCATGTCTCAAACTTTCACCTTGAAGGGTCGATCTAGTTGTTTGAGCGTAGATATTAATCCTGCCGTAGAGCTTGACTCTAGATTCAGCTATTCCCTTGCTTTAATTTCATTGAGTACATGGAATTCCATTCCGAACATTGAACCTGGCAGTAATAAGTTTTACTTTACCGATACACAGGCTGGCAAAGAAAGGCACGAGATAGAAATACCTACAGGATCTTACGAGATAGCCGATATAGAAGAATATATTCAAAAACGTATGAGTGAGAAAATAGGGAAGCAGACTACAGTTTTCACTTTAAAACCAAATAACAATACATTGAAGTGCGAAATAAAGAGCATCTACGATATTGATTTTACTCCTGAAGATAGCATTAGGCATTTATTAGGATTTCCCGCGGATTTTCTCAAGGCTAACAAACTACACTCATCCAGTCTACCTGTAAACATTATTAAAGTGCTCACTATACGAATTGAGTGCAATATTGTGTCGGGCACCTATTACGGAAATACACCATCACACACATTATTCGAGTTTTCGCCAATAGTCGATCCAGGATATAGTATTATTGTGGAGCCTCGTAATCTTATTTATTTACCTGTGAACCGAAAAAATATTGATAATATCACGATAAATATATTGGATCAAGAAGCAAGACCGGTAAATTTCAGGGGAGAAGAAATTATAGTTAGATTAGAACTGAGAAGAAATGGGTTTACTTTTTAATTATTATACACCTTATAGGCTGCAGGAACACCAACAACAACAACAACAACAACATGATCGGAAAGGGTATATATATGATCCCAATCATACACTTAAATCAGTTAAGAAAAAAACATTGACACAGACGCTCACTCAGCGGAATTTTCTACAGCTCAATTCATTGTCACACAAATATGGTTATCGTGTCGGAAAAACTGCAAATATTTCAATCGGTTGCCGCAGATGAATCGATTGCACGTGAAGAATGGCATACTTATCACCCATTTACTAAATCATTCAACTACAATGACGAGATAGAAATTGTTATCAACCAGCAGGATGTTTTTATGGATATAAGTCAAGCTGAACTTTATATAGAGGCAACGCTAAATCATAACACAGCTGTAGGTCAAACGGGAAAATGTATTTTGACTAATAATGCAGGTGCTTTCCTATTCGAATCAGTAGCATATGAATTAAATGGCAGGGAAATCGAAAAAGTTCGTGATCCTGGCCTCACCAGTACGGTTAAGAGTCTTCTGACCTTGAATGAATATGAGAGCAAAACACTCAATACTGCAGGATGGAACTGGTTCGGTGGACCACCACCATCATTTGTTAAAACTACTGATAATGATGGTACTTTCAATTTACTGATACCTCTACATCACTTGTTCGGTGTATTTGCTGATTACAAGAATGTTATTATGGGAAAGCAGAAAATCAAGCTAGTGCGTGCTCGAAATGATGAAAATTGCTACATTAACGAAACTGGAGAAAAGAAGGCGGCAATCACAATTTCTTCAATAGAGCTAAAAGTTAAACATGTATATCTCAATGATATGATAAAACTAAATGTTTTTGAGGAAATTGCTAGAAATAAGCCTATCTTCATTGCATTTAGAAATTGGGAAATTCATGAGTTGCCAGCTTTAAGAACTACAAAAAGAGATATTTGGACAGTGAAATCTATGTCTGAAAGGGCTCGATATGTAATAGTTTTTTTTCAAAAAAATCGTAAAGATAATGCACAAAAAGACTGTACTTATTTTGATAATTTGAATATTACAGATATTAAACTGTATCTCAATTCAGAAGTTTATCCGTACGAGTCCCTAAATCTTAATTTTACTAGCAAACAAGTTGCTGAAGCCTATAGAATGTATACTGATTTTCAAACGTTTTATTTGGGGAAACCTCGTAGTGAACCGTTACTGGACTTTGACAAATTTTTCAATAGAACGCTTTTTGTTATTGATTGTTCTAAACAAAATGAATCCATAAAAAGCAATACCGTTGATGTAAAACTAGAGTTTCAAAGCTCTGAGAATTTTTCCAATGATACTCGGGCCTATTGTCTCATCGTGCATGATCGTGTTCTAGAATATCTACCTTTATCAGGCAATGTGAGGAACCTCATTTAAGCATTTATTACTGGACTGCAGCAAAATGAAGTTCCTAGTGGTAGATTGTCAAGGATATTTCACACTTAAATTTGAAGTTAAAGAATTAGCAATATATGATGGGAAAATAGTGAAGTCCTGGTTGTTTAAACCAAATACACCATATAGATCTTTATCAGAACCTTATAAGAAGACTGCCAAGTATGTGTTTTACAACATCCATGGGATTCATTACAATTCTGGCAATGTGGCATATAATAACCTCAATCAGATACTTCTAGTTGAACTCAAGGATATTGATACTATTTTTGTTAAAGGACATATCAAAAAAGACTTTTTACTTCAATTGTATTCTAATATAAATCAAACACCCCCGAATATTGTCAATTTGGAGCATACACGTTCAGAAGGTACAATACCCAATTTACATCAAAATTTAGTTGAATGTATGCATCATAAACTGAAATGGTGTTCATGTAGTATTGTTAATGTCTATAAATTATATAATTATATTTTAAATGTCTTATCTAATCATAAGTTATTCAAATAAAGCTATATTTTTAGAATTTTACTGGTTATTATTATTATTATTACATTCACCCAACAGTTATACAGTCCTAACGAGAAGATGACGACGATGACGCTCCAAATGGATAATAATAACTACGGTTTGAAGATGACACCATGAGATAAGGAGCTGCAATCAAATTCTGGGAGAACCCAAAAAAAAAAAAAAAAAAAATTGGGGTTGAACTCCCAAAATTTCAGATCAAAGGCACCGCCGATCTAGAAATTTTCCCACGACGTCGAAAAAATTCTCAGGCTCAGGTGCCCCCATGGTACCCCCGTCACTACAGACAGGCAGACTATCAGCTTTGGCTGCTAGCTGTCAGATAGTGACACATGACGCCGCCACTGACGTAGAGATGGCGCCACCATTGCCACCTCTACTACCTACCACCCAAGCCTACAGTCAGATGGCGCGTACGCTTACGCTAACGCTAACGCTATTCCCATTACGATAACGTTATATCGCAGAACCCGCTTTGTTTAACTACTGAGCGATAAAACACAATTCTGGGGTGAATCCGACTATTTTTAGGGAAGGTGATGAGGTCTTGGTTAGGTGCCACACTCAATCGTCTGCTGATGACCGTACTATCAAAAAGTTTTTCCTACTTTATGCTGGCCCTTTTTATGTCGCGAGGCAGGCCGGACCAAATTCTTATGTTCTTAGGGATTCTGATGGCATCGAGGTTTCTAAACAAAATGTTATTAATCTTAAGTCATATAAAAGACCCCCACAAATTGCATAGTGTTGCCATATTTTAAGGTATATATTCGTTTATTATTAATATTATTATTTTTCTTGGGATGTACTCATTTTTAGTTTCTTTTTGTTTGTTTTGACACTGAGCTCTGTTGTTATCAGATTAAGGATGTCGAGAAGAATTTATCATTATGTTAAATTAAATCCATTGACGTAGGTCATTAGATTGAATTGGGGGGTCATGTGGTGGTTCCACGTATTATTAGAACCTTTTATAATTTACTTTTGTATCGTGGAAAAACAATACGTATATGGTGGTGGTGTTGGCAACAGGGCATCAAGCCAGGCGGTATAGGTATCCAAAGGAACGGCGCAACAGCCGAGGTCAGTCGGGCAAGGGTGAACCAAGAGGAAGGTGCGCTGCTCAGTTGCTATCGCCCGCCCGATTTATTTACGTAGATTCAACTTTTTTTTATGTACCGGAGAATATTAAATTAGTTAAAAAGTCGACACAGTCTTTGATTTTCTTCTGGAACTCGACCCAAGCTCGGCGAGCTATCGCAAATTGCCTATTGAAATTCAGTCCCTACCTTAGACACGATGTCATTTATTACTTCACATAATAGCGGCACGGATCAACAAAAAAATAAGTCGATAGGAAAAATATACATACATACTTCCTCCTAACTACTCAAAATTTTATAACAATATATTCAAAATGAATCATATGATTGAATCAGTCGACAACAGCAAGGTACATATTTGAATTTCATATTTTTATTCCTTCAAATCGATCCAGCTTTTTGCTTTTTATATAATTCTCAATACTTACGTGTACGCGACTGTCAACTTTCCAAACCACGCGGAGAGTGCACGCTGTGCGGAAGATCGACCCTACGACTGCTTCTTTTGCCAAAAGGAAAATGTCAATTTATTTCGTGTATGGCTCCACTCAAAACTCAGCGGGCGGCACTCTTTATACTTCTTTAATGTGATGGATGCAACTTTTAACTTGCAAGTTTTAATCTAATATTTTCCCTCAAGTAATTTCATATTTTCCAAATTTTTTTTTTTTAGATATAAAAGGAGAAACGACCACGCAGAGTTTTTCGAAAAATCCCTTCAATCAATCCTCCTATATCGCGGAAAATGCCCAGGAGATCTACACAAATGCATATCCGCATACCAGTTGCTTTTATTCCAATACGTTGTATAATAAAGTTACCACATCACCTCACAGGACCAACGAAGAACAGCAGCAACCAGAAAATAGTAACAGTGCCCATAATAACCCATCAGGTTGTCAAGTTATTAAAGAAGAGCCTGTTGAAAAGGAAAACAGCAATGGTAAGTTAAAAATTGATAAGCTTTCTGATATTCATAGGATTATTAATTGTTGTTTTTAATCCCCTTTTAATCAAATACCTCTGAGGCATGTAATCCGCCAAACACGGGGAGTGTGGACTCTAATTGAGGCCAATCAATATTAATAAAGCCATTATACAAGCACAGAGCCCTTTCGACGCTAAGTCAACAAGCCGTTCAAGGGTGTATACCCAAACATTAAGCCACCCTTGAACGAGTAGGTACATAGCAGAATTAAATATAGTGGCTTTTTCATTAAGTGAGTGTTTGAGGCAGATTTTTTACGTCCTTAAGTTCCAAACCAATTGTAGGTAGGTAGGTATATTGCTTTTTCGGTAATGTGGCCTTGCTAGTTAACAGCGATCACGCAGTTGTCGGCTAAAGGAGGAAAATTTTCTTGCAGGTTAGCTTTCTTCAGTGGCTCAATCAAATACCTACTGAAACTTGTCTTTATTTGTTAGTTCTTCATCTTGGTCATGAAGAAATTTCTCCTGAAACTCACATTAAAATTTGTATTTTAAGATCGTGTCACGAAAGTTCTTCGAATCGTTTTATGTTGTTCTCATGTTCTGGATTCACTTCTATTCTTTCAAACATTATCCATTGATCTCATAGTTGTGTTCCTTTCTAATTTCCCTGCATTTTCTTTTTGCAGAAATGCAAGAAATATGAATTTGAAATAATGTTACCTATTTCATGAATTTGTGTTTTATAATAGGGATGATCCCAGAAAATAAACATCCTGTAACATTATTTATTCCGATCATGCTCGCATTTTTAAATTTAGATCTCGCTCTTTCAGATATTGACAGTATATATGCAAAAAAAACGTGATCAAAATATACGATTGAAAATTTTCATTGAAAATCAAAATCCATTCTTAACCTATTAAAATCTAGCCTGGAGCGGTGATCCGCGATCGCGAGGATGAGCCTATTATGTTTTATGAGGAGGGCATACAAATTTTAATAATTTATAGAGGGATAAAGACTGGAGGGGTGTGTATTGGATACTGTTAGTTATGTACTCACAAAGTTAGGTAAATGCAGAATTTGAACAATTACTTTTGAAATATACCTATCTTTTATGACAATCATAAATAATCATATATTATATCACAAGACCTTTAAATTTAATCGATTAAACTATCCAACATATTTTGAGCATGATTTTGCTTGGAAAATAGTTGAATGCACAATAACTTAATAAAAGCCCGAGACCGCGAAGCGATCGAGGGCTTTTATTTAAAAGTTATTGTGCATGAGACTATTTGCCAAAAAGCAAAATTATGCAAAAAATATTTGGATAGTTTATTCAATTTAAATTTATAGGTCGAGTGGTATACGGCTAGATTATTTCCTGAATAATTAGGATTGAATTGTTGGCGTCAATCCTATCCAAAGAGTTTTATTTATTATAAAATTTCAGAATATTTCTATCAAAATTCTGTCAAAAAAGGTAAACAAAAATTTAATCGCTGATAAACAAGGTCTTGTAAAATAATCACTTATTTAAACAAAATTCATTCAAAAAATGACGTTGTCTGATGGATCTATTTTATAATGAATGAAATAATCATAATAACATAATGCCTCAATAGACACTTACAATAATCATCCTAGCAAAACCTGAATAAATACCCGTACTTTAATTACTGGTTACGATTCTATGCAAAATGGAACAGGTAACAGACACAACAGTTTCTCTCCTTTCATATTGGAGCAATAACAACTATAGCACAAACGCAAATCCATCTACCGCGACATCTCCACATAGTTGTAATGATAAGATTTAATTGAAACTGATTTATATACTTGGCCGTATAATGACCCACATCTAATTTCCAGAATTGTTTTCTCGACACGGTGTATACTCACCTATTTTGGCCATTTGATCTATATTATTATCTTACTTAATGAGATAATGAATTTTTCCGATTCTTGCATCTACTCTACCAAATTTCCACTTGTTATGGGAATTATTATATTCACGTACAGCCACTCTCTCACCATTCACAAATTCTCGAATCACAGTCTTATTCAAGCATTCAAAAGTGTCAACTGAGTTAGGTGTTATTAAATATAATTTTGTTGAAATATTCCTGCCCAAAAACAATTCAGCCGGGCCGGACTTAAACCGGTCATGGAATGAGGAATTTTTCTATATCCTAATAAGACTATGGAATATATTCACTTGCTTCTGTCTCTCCATAACGGCACCCTCAATTATTGCTTGTAAAGAATTTTAAAATGTTTGCACACATCTTTCTACTAACCCATTCGTAGCAGGATGATAACCGGAACTGGTGACAATTTTTAAGCATTTTTGTATTAATGTGTGGTGACGATATAAGATCACTAATATGGTGCAGATAATTTGTGAAGAATTCCATTCTCTTTCAAATAATTTTTGAAGTTGTATGATGTAAATACTGAAGCGTTATCACTAACAATAACTTTAGGAATACCCAAAGAACAGAATATTTTGTCACACAATAATATTGTGTTTTCAGTAGTGATATCTTTGACCGCATGTATTTCAGGCCATCTAGAATAATACGCGTCAACTAAAATAAAATAATAGGTATTGGAAAACAGTCCAAGAAAATCAATATGAACTCGTTGAAATGGTTCTTTTGCTGGTTCCCAGGGATGTATTGGTGCTTGCTCAGGAATATTTTCAATTTTATTACATTCAGCGTAAACTTTGATTTAGCGCAATTGCTTGCGATATCCTCGATATCTTGCGTAATGCTTGGCCAATAACAATAACTTCTAGCCAGGGATTTCATTTTAACTACGCCAAAATGTGCTGCATGTAATTCGTTCAGAATTTTCCGTCCATTTTAAATAGAAAATTCAGAAATATTCGAATGTAACCAATCCTTCTTATCCAACTTCTTACCTGATTTCAAAGCTACTAAAATTTTATTTGGGGTCAGGTCTTCAATAGTTTCATCTGCTAATTCTTTGAGAGTAACTGGTAGAGTTTCTATTTGAGAGATTTCGAAAACGTCTACTTCATCTTGTATATTGAATCCTAATGATGAAATTGGTAATCTAGACCAGGCCGTCAGCATTCTCATGATCTTTCGTATTTTTGTACTTGATATCGTATTGAAAAGATTCTAGAAAAAGTGAATAATACTGCATTCTGGTTGTAGTAAATGCGGAAACGCTTTTCGAAGAAGAAAATATATGTAATAAAGGTTTGCTGTCTGTGTATAAGGTGAAAACTCTACCAAAAAGAAAATAGTAAGATTTTTTAATGCTAAAAATAATGCTATATGCCTCCTTATCTAGTTGGGTGTATTTTTGTAGGGTTGTACTTAGTGTTTGGGATGCAAATTGAATAGGACGCTCACTGCCGTCTGGATATATATGGGATATTACAGCTCCGACCGCATAGGAGCTTGCATCTGTTGCCAAGATTATTGGTAACGTCGGGTCAAAATGGGTTAGGACTTGCTCTGATAAAATTTCTTCCTCAATTTTATTAAACCATTCTTCACAAATTTTAATACAATGGAAAGGTACATTATTCTTGAATATATTATTTAATGGAAATAAAGTATGACTCAGGTTTTTGAAAAATCGTCCATAATAATTAATAAGACCAATAAAACCCCTGACTTCCGTTTTATTTGAAGGCATTTTGGCATTTTTTATCGCTTCAATTTTACTAGAAGACTTATGAATAGGTACCTTTTTTATCGATGTCATATCCACAGCTCTGGGTTGCGTGACAGAAATCTTGGGTTCATTTATTCCAAAATCAAAGTCCAACTAACACAACAATAATTTATTCCACGTTACTATACGCTTTGATACTACTTACTTCACTAATTAACAACAAACAACTAAACTCTTAACAATAATCATTATCTAAATCATATCACAGTCAAACTTAAACTTGAAAACTACCAATACCTTTATATATCCGAGATCTATTCGTGTAGAATCCAGAATAGACGCGATAACTCTCCTTCCTGAACAGCAACGTAAAATCTAGAATCAGCTGTCCTATTCTGTACACCCTGGCGCTTCCGCCAGATTTTCACGACAATATTCTATTTTTGATTTCATAAATTGACATTTATTCAAATTTACATGAATGTTATATTCAGAAAGGCGTTTCAAAACTGTGTCTAGAGTTTGTAAGTGTGAAATGTCATCTACAGCTGTGACATTAATGTCATCTAGAAATACTGATACTCTCGGAATATCCGCTAAAATATTTTTTTCTGCGATTGACAAGAAATGTCAGCATTTTTGACCGGTTGACAGGTCGCAAAACTCAATATTCTGGTATTTCAATTATGTTTCAATAGTTGCTAAGGAATCAATGAATAACAATACGGGAAACACTTTTCCGGCCTAGGAATTGGAACTAAAAGACAAACATTTAACAGGTATTTAACCGATCGCAGAAAAAATAGTATGTGTATTTCGGTGGAAAAGCACATTCTCGGCCTTCGGTGTTTGCCGGCCTCGGCTACGCCTCGCCCGTCAACTTACACCGTCGGCCGAGAATGTGTCACTTTTCCACCTAAATACACAATATACTATTTCTTGGACTGGAAATACCAAACATTAAATGTGTACATTTGAATAAACCTTTGTCATCAGTATTCAAAACTAAATATCTTCCGGTGCAACTTCTATTTGTAAATATGCTTGACTTAGATCAAGTTTTGTAAAAATGTTTCTCCTCCTGCCATGGATGAAAATAGTTCATCGATGGTAGGTCGGTAGGAAGAGAATGATGATCAACAATTAAATATTGATTAACAGTACCTACTACGGAAATCGCCACACAACCTTACCCTACTATTTGCCTTTACAACTGGCACTAATGGAGTAGCAAACTCTGAACTATTAATTTTGACTAAAGTCCCTTGTTCTTCCAAAAACCAAAAGTATCAGCTCCTTATCAATTTCAGGAATAGGAGAATACGGTACTTTTCGTGCTTTTAGAAACAC